TAGGAGCAGTGCAACATGCCTTAACGTGTGTGTACACGCATGTGTACCAAATGAAATTCAACTGGGCTGAAAATGAAAGAAAATGAATGAAACGACAGGAACTGAAAAGAAATGAAATGAGATGAAGTGGAAATGAAATGAAAATGTGAGACAGAGAAATTGAAGCGGCAAACGTAGAGGGCCAGCCGCTTGCAGATTTGTGCGAGGCTTGTGTCCATGTGCATTTTTTCCCTCAAACGGGGCTGAGATGGCTGCGAAAAAAAAACCACGATGAGCGCTCGTGCAGTTGGGTTGAAACTTGCAGCAAGAAGGCCAGCCACAACAAACCAGGCTTTATGCGGTGGACATGTACTCAAGGGTTTGAACCATTTTTTGCGCCCCACCCACCCAACCCGTTGCTCACTTAGGTCAATCCTTCGCAACCGGCTTTGAGCTGCGAGTGCAGTTGCTTCTCGACAGCTAACAGCTCCGCGTACGCACCTGGGCAGACGACTCAGCCAGCGCCCTTGCGGGCAAGCCTTGCACGCATTGCATGGCCACGGGCCTTCCATTGTTTCACACCCTTGCAGGCAACACACTTGTGGTGCGGTCGAACACGCGTTGTTGACACCCCCCCCCCCCCGCGGAAAAATGATCACGGGCTCCGCAGGGTTGGACACGCGTTGTCAACTCCCCTGCACCCCAGAGCCTGCAAAAAATGTGCGGAGCGACTTGAGTTGTTTCGCGGTCTCTTTTTTTGGGTTTCATGTTCTTGGCTGTGCGTGAAGAAGGATCGGGAGCATGAAGTGGTGTTCAGGGCGCGTTTTGTGGAGTTGGGTGATTTAATGCTTCAAATTTTGAATGTGTAAAGTGTTTCTGTATGGCTTTTGTTGCCACATCTCAGTGCAATGTTTGACCTATCAAAATTGGGCCAAGTTGAGTTGTGGTTATTTTTCTTCGGTTGTGTCTGAATGTCCGCGGGGTCAGACATTGGAGGGCTACCAGGCGCAGTCACACGCCAACACCACCCTTCTCGATTTGTCTGTGGGCAGGTGCAGCTCACAACAAATGCAGCTGGAGCATCTCGATTTTGCCACCGATTGTACAGTTGCAGCATCAAGCTCGAGCATAGCTGGCTGAAATAAGCATTGTACATCACATCCTCCTTCTTATGCTCGGCCTGCAATGTCCATGAAAATACTGCCAAGCTCGTTCAATTGCTTAATATGAAGAACAAGTTGCTAATGATTGTTTTCCTAAAAATAGAACCTGTCGACTCTTGATCATAGACGTGGAAACCACCCGGACAATCTTTGCAAACATTGCGCTTGGAGTTCGAGTGGCAGCTTTGACATCTGCCGCAGGAAATGTCTGCTTTCTGACATGGGATTGCGTATAGTTGCATTATGGTTGGTGTGGGGTTTTGGGGCGGCCGCCGTCCATGACCCTGATGCTTTGCAAAAAAAATGCGTTGCAGCCAGACCTTTCGTTCTTTTCTTCTTTTCTTTTCTTTTCATTTTTTCTTTTACGAAAGGGAATGGTTCGGATTTTTTGTCAAGCTTGCCTGCATGTTGCCACAATCAGTCTTGCAGCGCAGCAAAGATGCATTGGCTTTGCTTGGGTGCCTTTGGCCGGTGATGGCACTCGGACTCAAGCGATCGCGGCCTTGATTTTGGCAAAGACCTCCATCGACTGCGGCGTTTTTCTCGATTTTCATTCTATGACTTGACAGCACCCGTCGCGGCCCAGACCAGAACAACGGTTTTTTGCAGTGTTGCAAAGATTGAGAAGCGCGACAAGCAGATTTGTGCGATGCAGGACGCATCTAGATGCAGCGGTGGTTGCATTTAGAAGGATGTGAAGAGCGAGAATTGGTGGATTTTGGCATGGCATCACGCAAAGGGTGAAGTGTTTGCGGGGGATGAAAAGTTTGTTGCAAAACATGGGCAGCGCAAGATTGAAAATCGGACGGACGATGAAGATATGGTGGACGGATGACTCTCGGTTATTGCGAGGGGTGCCACATGCCCCGTTTGGTGTCTTTTTTCCCGAAAGCATTGCGAAGGGTTCTTCCGGTAAAATCGCCAGCCTTATCACACAGCTAAACTTGCACGAGCCAACTTGCGCCCGCAGAGCAACTTGCGCTGATCACTTGGGCCGAGCACTTGCGCAGAGCAACACTTGTATAGATCTCGCAACACCGAAGCTTATCAGTCACAGAGGGGCAAACTTTGCAGATATCCGTGGTAGCAAGCGCGCACGCACGCGCGCAAGTGCACAGAGCTCGCAACACCAAAGCTTATAAGTCACAGAAGGGCAAACTTTTCAGATATCCGCGCTAGCACACACACACACACACATGCACACGCGCAAGCCGCGCTAGCACACACGCACATGCACGCGCGCAAGTGCACAGAGCTCGCCGCACCGAGGCTTATCAGTCACGGACGCGGTCTGTGTGGAGCCGGTTCTGTCGAAAGCCACTTGCGAATGAGAAAACGGAAGCAGACACACGTGCATGAAACCGACACCCACGCGCACACACACACACACACCTACACACCTACACCTACACACACACACACACGCACATCCACACACACACACACATCCACACGCGCACGCACGCACACGCACGTGCACACACACACACACATACACCCACGCGCGCACACCCACCCACGCGCCCACACACGCATGCACACGCGCGCGCGCAACACCAACTCTTGAGCAACCACTCCACTGGCACCCCTGCACGTCGGCTCGCTTTGCTGGTCTTTGGTCACTTTCCATTATGCTTTCGGGCCACCCGTGGTTCTAGTTTTTTTTTGGATTGCCTGCGCGGGAGTTTAACATGCAGACGGAGCACAAATTCTTACCGAGAAGCGTGGTGTATTTCCATGTGTGCAGTCTTGTTTGTCAAAAGTTCGCGAGTGGTCCTGCGATTGCGGTCACCCTCAAATGAAACTTTTGGTACGAACTTCAGATGGCGATCCCGTCTTGCCTCGGCATACCTCCGGAGTAGCAGCACCAAAGCGAGAAACGAAATGTAGGCGTCACGCTTGGGCGGGAGGATAATGGCACACACGAAAGCTGAGGCATGCTGCCGTACAAGACGCGGAGTCGCACAGTCCTTGGGGTTGGGAATGCTGCAATGGCTGACATGCATTCACACCATGACGCACATGCACAAATCTCTCTGTATAATCATTGTCAAAACACCTACTCTCCCCCCCCCCCCCGCCCCCCCGCACTCCACAGCAAGGTGAATCAGCAGACTTATCCACTCCTGCTCGATGTGCCACAACTAGATGCTCAATGGTGCTTGGTGTTAAGCACACCACCAGCAAACTGTACGTCACCGGACAGGCATATACAACTGCTGGACGATGGATGCGCCATGGCTTTGATGGCTGCAATATTTATTTGCCTTTGGGCTGACCATTCTGTTGCTTCGTCGCTGTGATGCTTCCTTGCGGCGATTGTACCTGTTGTCCATTCTGTTGCTGTTTTTGTTTTTGACGGCTTGGCTCTTTACTGGTTACTGTGACGTTTTGGGCTACCTGTGCAGCTTGATGCCAAGCTTCCTTTTTTTTACCTGGTTGGCGCACTATGACAGACCAAATTCTGTTGTAATGGATTTCATTGTCTCAGTCTGCGAGTTTTGGGACATGCACCCTCACCCCCCCCGTTTTTGTAGATTGCCGGAGTGGACTCGCTTACGAGATGTGGGAAAACTCAACCTTGGTTGAGACGAGTGCCTGCTCTTTTCGTATTATTTGTGTCATCTTTTGCGTGCAGGTGCTTTGCATCAGCGCCTGCCTTAATTAGGGATTTCGTTTGGGTTTGCCCACTGCCACCCTCTGGGTTGCTTTTTCGATTCGCTCTTTAATTGTTGACCGGCGACTATGCTGTAGGCGGCTTCGGGAAAAATCGCCAACGCCAGACATGAAATCCAGCCTGTTGTTGAACTGCAACCTGATAGTGAGCAATGTCATTTTCGCACAGTACCGCGGTTGCCACTTCTGCTCCTAGCCTGATCACAGAGTTTGCTGGCCAGAGTACAACCTACCCTTCCACTCTATTCTTCTTGCTTTTGCAAATTTCTTCTGCACCGCAGTGCCACGCTTGCCAATGCAAACCTAGCACTGCCGTGCAAAAACATACTGTGAAAGCAGCTTACTTAGAGTTGGACGCCGTGCTGCGCAGGTTCCGCCTTTCAACATGAGCACCTGCGCAACCCGAAAGTCAAAAAAGGAAGGACCGTGGAGCAGTGTTTTTCCACGAAAGTCGGTTTGAATGTATCCGCAGCATCTACTGCAACAAAAGAAATGAGGAAAACAACGAGCAGCTTGAGTTACAGGAGCAGATTTCCATCGGTGTGCTGGTGCCAGGTGACCGAGCTAGAATTGAGCAAGTGGGCATTCAGCTGTTGGGCATGCGAAGAACTCCGGAGATGTTGTTTTACTGCGTTGCTTTTCTGAATCCTGACAAACGGACAAAGGATATTACGGTATGGCAAATTTGATTTAGGTCACAGAGAGTATGTTTTGTCAAGAAGGTTTTTTGAACAGCATCATTTGAACAATGCAAACCATGTTTTTTTTTTTTGTAAGCCGGCTTCGTGCATGTTCGACAACTCAGAAAAAAATAGTCAGCTGGTTTGGGCCCAGACATGTCAGATCTACAGATTCTTCTTTGTTGTACTTGGTGATGTTGGAAAAATGAACGAACCATGATTGAGACCGTTTCCTTGCATGCTACCGTTGAGATGCAGTTGCATCATTTTGTTCATTGGATTGCAACATGGTGCTCGAATCAAGCAAGCCTCGAAGATTGAGAATGCACATAGTATCAGCGGCACTAGGCCTCCATCACCCGAATAACATTCGCTAGGTGTGAAATGGATTGAGCTGAACACTTGCAACAATGCCTATGTTTGTGGCCTTGTTTCATGTTGCAGATGCAAGGATGTTGCCACACCGAAAGTTCCGCACATGTTCCTTTGTCTTGTTCTTTTTTGATATGGATGACGCAGAAACTCCCGATGAGAGGAGCGAGGAGGAGAGCGAGGCAGGGATCATATCATGAGACTGTGTGCAATCACAACATGGCAAGTGTTGATGCAAAGCACGCTTTGTTTTGAGCAGCTGTGGCAGTTTTTCTGCGAGGAAGATGAGGGAAAGCCGAAAAAGGTCCAGTGCGAGTCCATGCGTATTACCTACGAGGCAGGTCATATGAGCACGTGACAACATCGATATTGGCAAGTCTTTTAACGATTGACATCTGCTGGAATGGTCCTTGATTCACCTCAGCAGTGCTCTCGCATTGCGGCCCGCTTCTGAGGACCCTTTGACAAGTGCACATCGAGCCGAGGCGCCAACACAGATAGGGTTTCGAAGAATGAGTCAGGGGATTTGATGGTTGGATCTCAGTGTTTGCATCGCATGGTGTCATACACGTTACGTCGTTACGTTTGTTGCTCCGAGGGATCGGATCAGCCCCAGGAAGTCTTCCTGGATCCTCGGGACCTTTGGTCTCGAGGGCAAAGCCTGCTGTTGGTCAGCGCGGGGCTGATTCATCGGCTTGCCGGCAGACATTTGGTTCACCCAGAATGCTGCAATTGTTTGGCCCCTAGAAACATCACTTTATGTATCTGTAGCGCAATCTGCAGAATGGCTTGGGAACGAGGGTGCTTCGTCTGGCAAGTGATGTATTTGCAAAGTCATGCGTTGCCGCTTGCTTCAGATAGTGTTCTTATTTTTATGGCATTCGCCGAACTTGGACATCTGACTGACCAAATATGGATCTTTGCAGTACGTTCGCTCTTCAGCAGGCCGTTTAGACGTGAGGCTGTTGGTGGACAGAACAGCAGGTAAGTTCTTGATCAGTGTGGGAATTTCGGACAGAAACCATTGAACATCTCAAACATGCATGGGTCTTGTTGCCGTAGGTGTTCTAATGAAGCCCGCCGTGCCCAGATGCTGCGGCGCTGATGGCACTTCAGGCAAAGTCCGATAAGGACACAGTGCCTAGGGCAGTGCCAACGGAGTGCACAAGGTTCTGGTTTATGATTTGTTGGCTGCCAAGGACGCCAGAAACAGGTGTTTTGTGGAGATGAAACAAGAGGTGGGCAGCAAAATTATAGATGGCAACTCGACAGAAGTAGGCCGCAGTGTTTGTTCCTGAAGCTCACTCATACATTCAAATCCTGCTTGAAATAATCTAACGAGCTGCAACTACGTAAGTAGCCAAAGCAGACAGAAGACTTCTGGGCAAGGAAGTACTGCCAAACGGTTCGTCATGCAGACATTATCGTCGCTTGCTACGAATATTTCCGAATCCTGATGACCAGTCCTGAATCTCATTGTTGCAACAGAGTTAGAGAAAAAGCTTGCAGCTTTCCTGTTCGGAAGAAAGCCATAGAAAGCCAACAATTTGGTGTAAACTGTGTATTTGATCCCAGCGGCCCGTGCCGGGCCATTGCAAGACCAGGGTAAATCTTCAGTGTTGGCTCAAATCAAGCTGTTATGGTACAAGCAAGTTAGATTCGTGAGATTTGCAAGTTCAGAACAGATAGCCGCCGTTTCCTAAGGCTGTAGCTTCTGTTTGCCAGGACCCAGTTGCCCATTCCCAAGTTTTTTGTGTGAAGCTTTACCCCGTATCTGAGGAGCAAAGCTTCGCCATCAGCTCTCAGAGTGCCACAGAGCGTGCACGTAGGCGGGTGCCAGGGGCGCAGGTAGGAAGGACCGGCTCAGTTGACCTGTCATGAGCGGTTTGTTCGGATTGCACGGACTTCACATGGAGCCAGTCATTTCAACATCCTTGCAACTTGCATGGTTGATTTGCCGCAAGCGTGCGACGGCCTTAGTGGTGGCAAGCGTGGCGCTTTGGCAGGGACTATCTCAGAGAGCAGCGCCTTCTTGTGGATGAGCTGCAGCGCCTCTTGGAGTCAGCGAGCTCAGCGATTGGGTTGAAATCGAGGTCTGAAAAGCAGATGGAAAGTGTGCAACTTCTGTGCAACGGTTTCAATATGTGGCTGGTTTCTTGGAGAAGGATCTTTTGCTCACTCTGGGGATGGCGACTGTGCGAATGTCATGCCTTGAAAGCTCAACGGGTTTTGGTTTGGGGCTGGAGCCAGTTGACGCCCAGCATCCTATATATATATATATGTATTTGTTGCCCATGTGTTTGACGCTGATGTAATTCTGCTCATGTGTCCCCCACCAACCCAATCTCAAGTGCACTCTTCACACTGGACTGGGGAACAAACAGCCAAATGCTAATCGTCAAGATTGAGCGGCTGCAACATACCAGAGGGTACCTGCAGGTGAGTGCAAGCTTGTTGGAATCGACTTCGATTGCTGCACGATGGGTTTAACTTAGCCAAGTAGCCAAGAAGCGCCAAATCAAGAGAATCGGTAGCTGTTAAACACGCGCTCATATTCAGTGAACCACAATGTCCTGCACTTTTTGTGTCCATCACTATGCCAACGACGACATCCAAATCTTCCAAATGGCATACCTTCGTATCTTGAGAGGAGGGTGCGAGCCCACTCAGTTGGTGTGTTGCCCAACCCCCATGGCTGAGCGAACTTTCACAATGTCGTATAGCTGTTCATGTACTTGACCCTGAACTTCCAGACGCGCGGCCCATGGTTTCAAGATAGAGCATACAGCATACTGACTGCCTGACATCCTTGGAAGACTGGTATGGTGGCAAGCTGCTATCGAGCTTTGTTTGCGATTTGGCTCACAGCATCGATTCATATGCCGCATATTGGAGGTGGACACTGGCTTGGACACTCTTCGGGGCGCTTCTCTATGGGCATTCTAGGTCGGATCCCAACATGCCCAAGACCATCCAGGGTGAAGCACAGCAGGCCATTGACAAGGCAGGGGCCAAGGAAGTGGAATGTTTGTTCCTCCGGAACGGAGATGCCACAGAGAGAATGAGTCGAGACAGCTTCTTGATCGGCTGGTTTGTATTGGTGTCTTGCAGGACCCACGTGGGCATGTGGCGTACAATACCCCAAAACACAGTGTTACATGACATGCAGTTTCAGGCTATGGCTGTGGCAGAGCAGGGCCCAGATACTTCCCAACTGGTGACTTGGCAGCGACAAAGTTCTGAGTGGCAAGGCCATGCGGTTCCGTATCCACCTGAGATAAGTTAGACACAGCTGTGTACTCTTCTCCCATTCTAGTGAGTTTTGTCTATTGTTTCTCAGCAAATGGTTTGTGTCAAAATCTGAGTGTAAAACGAGGGCTCTTCTGTGCAAGGACAACCCTTTCTGCTCAGTGACTTTTGATGTCCAATTGGTTTCGCAAGCGACTGCCAAGTTTGTTGTTGAGAGCAGGACGGCATTTTCGGAAGCCAAGGTCTTCACCGACTCTGATCAGCGCCTGGCTGTTGAATTCTACGTGCTTGCCCTCAGACTAGAATTAGCCACCCCTCCGAGCGGTGATGCAAGACATATGCGCAGAGGCGTGCCAGGACGTTGGTTTGATGGTACATTACAGTTAGTGTTTCGAAGATTGCGGAGACATCCGCACAGGTGCCGCATCACGATATCGACGACGAGATTCTTCAGCACTTGCGTCAGGATGGAGATAACAGCTGAGTTGACCTTGAGAGGTGTGCAATTCACGCTGACTGTCGCATTCTCGCTGTGCAGTTGATTCACGGTACACATATCTTGTGCCGCCTGAGCATCCCTTGAAGCCACTGCTTCGACTCCAGGCGCAAGTGGACCTGGGCGACGAGGTTTGCACTCGCCTCATGGTGCAGAAGGTGCGCGGAGCGCGGGAGCCCAGGTCCCAGGATGGTCCCAGGATGGTTGAGTGACTCCTTCCAGGTATCAAGTGATAAGCATCAGGGTGGCTACAGTCTAGAGGATTCCTCGTGCTAACCTGGCACTGCAGAGAGTTCTTGTTCAGATTCGAGCAACTGTGCCCAGTTCCACAGCGATGATTTGCGGAAGAGGGCGTGGAGCTTAAGTTTGCGGGTATCTTTAATTGCAGACATGATGCACGGAGCAAATGCAAGGCAGAACTTCACAGCAGATACGGCGCGGGTTTTGGGGCGCATGATGCTGCAATCTCATGCAGCTAACATGGGCAAGCTAGCTTGCTTAGGAGAGCATGCGTGCCACGTTGGATGAGCTTGCGGGCAGTCTGGTTCTTAGTAATATGGGCAAAGCCTGAAGGTATTGAAGGCTGATGTCTCCATATGTCTCCGGTGCCTTTGCGAACATTTGACTCTCACCGCAGGGCGCTTTTCCCAGGTGACTTGGCTTCTGACACAGGGCCGAAAGACTTGGAAGGTGCGGCGCACATGGTGTGGCTTTGGGCAGATCCTATTTCTCGATGGCAGGAAAGATCAACTTGATCCACAGCATGATCATTCAAGCTCGGGCCTTGTGGTCCGGACATCTGACTTTGGGTGAAATGCACAACCAATTGAACATGCAATATATAATACCGATATGTATGTGTATGGGCCAGTATCTCCAGTGCCAATGCCAGTACCCGACTCTATGGATGATTCAGGCATACCATACCAGCCCCGATATCAAGAACGAAGGTGTATCATAGATCCGCATGAATGCAACGTGTAAATCAAACGGGCAAGGACTAGCCAAAATGTTCGATCTCCATGGCTCAGAACTATCGTTCCGACGAGTCGACTCCAATGGATCGAGTGAAACAATTTTATTGAAAAGCCCAATGAATCAGACACAGCTTTGGCACTTTGCCCTGTGGACCCTGTCGACCTATCTCCGCCATCAGGCACAGAACCAGGGCGCCTCGTGGACCGTGGCACCGACGGGTTTCCTGTGACCTCCGCGGCGTCTCCGATTTCTCGCCGTATGGATATTTTACACTATTTCTGGGGTTTCGTCTTGTTTGACGAAGGTGGACACAGGACCACATTCAATTCAATGATGAGCTGACGCCAACGAATCTGAGTCAAAGGACAAGCCAGCAATCATGCCCTGCGGAAAAGGTCTTGATTTTACTGGTGAGCAAGCACGAGATGTCGAGTTGCTCAGCACTCTCAGGATATAATCCAAGATTCTGGATCAGCAACATTTTTTTTGCTTTTTGCTTCTTGGTCGCCCAAACCTTTCGGTTCTCCAAGCTTGAGCTTACAGTGCCTGATCCAATCAATGTTTGCCTCCTTGCTTCGGGGACTCCGCATCTCCCGCACGGGACCTCGGTGAACCCCTCCCCCGCTTCTGCCCGCGCTGCACGTTTGATTCAGTCTCCGGCGAGATCCAAGGACTACTTTTCTCGTAGCAGTTCTTACGAGGGCTACTGTAGCGTTTGCCGCTTTTTCGGCTTGCGCAAGATCACAGGCTGAATTCCCACTTTCTGATTCTATCAATAATTTGGGCCAAAATCATTGATAGAGTCAAACATGTAGCCCCCCACCCCCAGGCCCCAACACCGGACCTAGGCTTCCGCGCCGGTTCCAGAAAGGATCTGACAGTTCTTGCAGGTCCCGCTTTGGCCGCAAAGAGCCACGGATTGCCTCACCTTTGCTTTTGCCGTTTGCTACGTTTCGTCCACCCCCTCCTGCTCAAGTGTTGGAGCATTCTGGGAGGAAGATGGCCCTGCTCTGATGATTTTGCTTCAGAAGATTGGGAAGCGCATGGATCTGCGCGACGTGCGAGGGAAACAACAATACCCTTGCCAAAAGTGGTCATCGTCATCACCGCCATCGCCACCACCACCGCAACCACCACCGCTGTTGCCAACACCGCCGCAACTACCGCAACTACCGCCGCCGCCGCCGCCACCATTACCACCACCACCACCACCACCACCACCACCACCACCACCACCACCACCACCACCACCACCACCACCACCACCACCACCACCACAACCACAACCACAACCACAACCACAACCACAACCACCACCACCACCACCACAACCACAACCACAACCAACACCAACACCAACACCAACACCAACACCAACACCACCAACACGAACATCGCGGTCACCGCCGCCGCCACCACCTCCGCCACCACCGCCACCGCCCCCACCCCGCCGCCGCTGCCACCACCGTCATCATCGTCATAGTCAATTCAATATTTTTGCCATTGTCTGAGCAAGTTCAGCAAGCAACACACGAAGCGCCAGAATGAAAGGCATCAAGCTACTGCAAGCCCTTATCGACGTTGAACCCATCTCGAGCTTAGTAGTTTTCCTGAGCACGGCAACAAGCCGCCAGGAGATCGGGATGACTATCATGGATGCGGCCGCTGCCCCTGTAGGATTGACATGAGTTGCTGTTTCATGTAAGGGGGACTCATGCTGCAGCCCTGCAGAGCGATGACGTTGCCCGATCGAACTCGTCCAAGGCTACCAAGAAGTTGGCACAGATGATAGAGGAGGCCACGTGCGACTTTTCAGAGTTTAGTATTTACTTGCATTTGTGTCAAGCATTTGACTATGGCTTTGCACCCATAGAGGATCACGCAACTCCGCAGAGGTCAAAAGAGAATGACTCCAGATATTGAGATGTAGAGCTCTTGAACGCATTGCAAGGATTGTTTTGTAGCTATTGAAGGGAAGGTCCTTGTTGCCATGTCAGAGGCTTTTGTGCTCGTCCGTTTTAGGGGATCCCTACAGATTGCCATGCAAGTTTGTCCAACTCATAGAATCTGACTGCAGGGCTCCACTCAGAACATCTTGCAGGAGACGGAGGCGTGCTGCATGCGATGTTTATGGGGTATTATGTTGGGACGCTGTTCGTGCAGTGGACGATGCCATCTATGGGCTCAAGTTGACAAAAACTTTGGACATCTTCACCTGGAAGATGCCAAGCTTGTTGCTGAGTTTATGTTGAGTTTGAGCGGGCCATGTGGACTTTGATGGACACAATTAAAAGTTCGCCGACGTGGTGGTTTCGCGTTCGCCTTTTGACACCGCAGCCGGCCATACAGTATCGCTGCCTGAAAGGATGTCATGACGGACAACCTCCGCAGCCAGTACCAGACGCTGACACAGAACAAGAAAGCAGGGCGGCCAAGACTTTGTGACAAAACATGCCGTACGACGTCGGCGTTTGGCAGTCTTTGCCAAGTGCAGTGATCATTGTCAGTGTCAGTATTTGTTTTCACTTGACAGTCTGTCTGCTTCCATTGAAGGCGATTTGTGGCTGTCTGGCACCAGGCATACTTCGAGGTGAAACAACAGGCTACTTTATAGTTCTTGGCATCGTTGCAGCACACGGGCATTCCCAATGGTTGTTGTTTCAGCTTGAGTCTGGGCTAGGCTAGGCCTTTACGCCTTCTCGACTTTCTTGATGCAGCTTGGGGGCTCGAAGATAGTTCGGGGTCGCAGTGCTCTACCATGCAGCAGGCCGGATGGGGAAGCTGTTTCACAGGGCCCCTCTCTGTGGCTGGATTCGGGGAGCTACGGATGCAACTCTTAAATGCACTCCCAAGAGTCAATCTTGACAGCCTCGAGTGCTGAGTGGCTGCATTTTGTTTGATGTATTTAGCCGCATAGTAGCTTGCAGGCATTGGGGCGCTGACTATTTGGCTGACCGACCTTGTGTTTTGTCCATGGGCTGGCGGAAAGATCGTGAGATCGACTTATGGCACCCGCAAGCATTTTTGTTTTCGAAATTGGCGGCTTGGGTTGCTGTGGGGGCCGGGCCCGTGGGCGGGCCCGTGGGCTCGCGGGCCCGTGGGCTCGCGGGCCTGTGGCGCGCCTGTGGCGAGTCCGGCCCTCACAGCAACCCAAGCCGAGAAGGGTGTATTACACCCTTTCCAATTTGACTACGTAGTCTTTGTTTTTTTTGTTTTGTTTGTTTGAGAATCTTGGGATTATGTACAGTGACCCTGATCAAACAGTGGTACAAGTGTGGAAGCGGTGCTTTTCAGTTGTGAAAGTGGTGGCAACCCCTTTCACCAAAGGAAGACTGGCAGAATCACTGTTCTGTAAGATACCCTGTATCTGACCTTCTTGAAGGGGACCCTGTCCTTGAAACGGGACCCTGTCCCTCACGTGCGCCCTGCGCTTGTTCACACCGCCGCTGCCATGGTCGAGGCTCCACTGCCCTGCCCGCCCTTGAGCGGAAATGATGAGTCACATGATTCAAGTCAAGGTGGCTTCCAGAGAGTACTGTACAAGTGTTCGAGGCAAATCACACTCCCTAAAAATTATTCTTGACTTGATGTGTTTTGTTTCAGCCAGCTCAAAGCTTGCTTCTTATGCGCATTATGGCGCAGCACAGATTGCTAATCAAACAGACTGTAGTGTCCCTGTCGAAGGACTTGGCGTAACAGGCTGTTATCCATGACTTTGGTCAAGCCGTCAGCAAGCATGACTGATGTGGGTATCCACCGGAAAGAGCGATGTTCTTGGCACTGTTCCTTGATCAATAGCACTTCAAGAGTAGTTCGGTACTCTTCACATGCTGGCATGGCTGTGCGTGTGACCAAGTCATACAGTGACTTGCAGTCTGTCGTGATGACTGCCGGGTGCATCATGCGAAATGCTCGCGCCGGTTCACGCCAAGCAAAATCTGGGATTATCAAGCATCCCCACAAGAGTCTCATCCAGCCCAGGCGATCTACACTTCGGGACATTGAAAAGGCTTCTGCTGAAAGAGTGGACCGGACCACTCTGGCAGTCTTCTTTGACGACCATGTCAAAGGAGAAAGTGGTGCTTGTCTATTCTGATCCAATTCAATGCTCGTAGTGCAAATGAGGGATCCTTGAAATGAGGCCAATTGTTTGGGGCTGGCAAATGATGCATCTCCAAAAGAAACGAAGGTGGCATCCCGTTGCGGAATCGCCTGAAAGGTCAAACGAACATTTTCATGCTCCTGGGCCTCGCAGAGAACTCGGTTTGCAGAGAGCAAAGTTTCCACAGTCGGTTGAGACATCTGCACCTGGACTTCTCCGAGACGCGACGCTAGATCTGGTCGGGTATGCGACACAGCATACTGCAGGCTTCCGATCAAACCTCTTAGTTTACTTACTTCTGATTCAGAAGCTGGACTTTCAGGCTCCTGGCGTCTAGATCTACCTATCTCACGTTGTGAAGCTCGAATGGAATGGTCTGGGAGTTGCTCAATATGGATTCCTGTGAAGACAAACTGTTTTTCCTTAAAGGAACCAAAACGGAGGCCTTTCCGGAGGTCCTCCAGTTTGCTTCGGAAGTATGAATCTCCGCCTCCGATTCCATCATCCACATGGGTTCCAAGGGTGCCATGTAAGACACGTTTGCTGTTGTGGACCGTCTCCAAATAATGAACACAAGGTTCCAGCGGGTGTGTCTTGAATCCAAGGGACCGTAATTGATGACAGAGTTCCTTATAGAAAAGCAAGGGTGCGTCCACACGACCGTATGCATTTCCTACTAGCTCGCGCACCTGATCTGGTCGAAGACCCAGCGCTTGTCGCAGTTCAACGGGAGGTTCCATGGCAAGAGGATTTTTCTCATCAGCTTTACCACGGAGAAAGGCTGTGGTGATGTCAAAGGAACAGAGGGTCCACTTATTTGATGCAACACACTGAAGAATAATATTCCTACCTTCACGTGTCAGAGTAGGGGCATCTCTTAAAACCTCAGTGAGACTGGGATCCTGGTATCCTAAGACCACAAGCCTAGCTTTAGCTTTGCGACCGTTTGGGAGATCCTCTGCAGCTTTCCAGGTAAGCGCCCAATGACTGCCAAGAATTTGATCGGGATTCAATTTCTGTCACAGTATGGGACGGATGGCACTTGTTTGGATCCAGCAGGACAATTCCTGCTTCTTGGCTGCTTCAAAGGCAGTACGCTCCTCAGCTTTGAGGTCTCGGATATGGACTTCGGCACGGGCCCTCTTGCCGGCAGACGCAACGTTGATGAGTTGCTCAGGTGAACCTTCCTTCATCCATCGATTGAGGTCACGAGAGGTCATGGGAATCTCCAACACGTAAGCTTGCTCAATCAAGTCACATTGCATTGGCTCTTGAATGAAGGGTAAACCGTCCTCAGCAAGGAGGACTGGTTCGACATGGTTGTCCGAAATTCCCATGATATCGGAGAGGGTTTCCCACAGACACAGGCTATCTTGGTGGTTGAATTCACTATTGGGGATTTCCGTGCAGTGAAGAATGGGGTCCGGTGCGTCGGTTGGACGTTCACCCGATTCATCAAGATTCAAGTCGGATTCCTCCAGCGGAGGCTCTGCTGCTGGAGCGGCACTCGGATCGGGCTGAGCACTTTCCTGCCTCGAGGGAGCAACACTCGGCATGGGGGTTGCTTCATGTTCTGGTTCATGGGAAGGCTCTGATCCTTCCGCATTTGGGGGATGCCCTGGTGATGTACTTGGTGGAAGGATTATCTCAATGTCAGGATTCGGGTTTCGTGCGAAACGGAACGGAGGAGGCGCCTCACTACCTTGACCTTGGTCTGTGCGGGTGCTCTGCCGACGCTGGACGCAAATTTTCCGGAGCACACCGAATCAGCCTATTTTGATGGCTTACCCGCACAATGGACTGCCCTTCCGTCAGGAATGGTCTGATCCGTATCCATGCGACTCAGCATGTCTTTTAGTACTTGACCATGCCTCTCAACACGACGTTTCTGCCAGGCTTCGGTAGTTGTGAAAGTCTTCACATTCTGACTTTGCAAAAAGGCGGTCCACTGATCGGATACAAATTCTCCGGCAGGGTCAGCGTACAGAGACTGAGGGCATCCTGCCCATGAGAACCACATGTCGCGAAACACTGGGCTTGTTCAATCCTTTTTCCGAGATGGAACAGTGAACCCTCATCGATACAGTGGAAAACATGAACGTGAAAGCTGCCCTCACCAGAAAAACCGTCAATTCCTACAGTGTCATTGAAATCCTTAGGATCATGCAAAGTGGCTGGACGCTGATGTCGAGGTCTGGCTGATTCAACGCATGCATCACATACGTATTCACGGGCAGCTTCCACAATGTGAGGTGGCGCACCTTGAACTTGCAAATGGTGAGCAAACACATTAGGATCAGGGTGACCCAGGTTCTTATGCAACTTGACGAGTTCCGCTTTTTCCGCGGGATGAAGCTGTCGAAACTTTGGTCCATGAATGGGAATGGGTGGCGGTGCCCAACCTTCACATACTACTGGTGCATTGGATGGCTCCATTGGTGAGCTTGGTTCATTTAGTCGAAGGACTTGCCCTGCACGGGTGTCCGTGGTGACTGGTTCCGGGTCTAGATCCATAGGCACACGTCGCGATGCTGGAGCATCAATATTTTGCCGCTGACTTTGCTGAAGTATTTCAGGGGACACTTGGCTACCGAAGATAGTTAAGGTCAAACGACTTGGAATACTTTGGCGGATGCGGTCTCTACGTGTCAAACTGTGCCAGTTTTCAAGACCGAGATCCAGAAGCTTTCCGGAGTGTCGGTGCATGGCGAGCGTGGAGAGGCCGTGATTGGGGTCTGGAATCGATCAGTGCCCCGGCACGCAAATATCTCACGAATCTGGAGGCCGGGCAACCGGTCCTGCACTAATCCAAACAGCTCAGAACCCGTGATATGTTTCTGGTTACCTGCTCGGGGTGGCACTTCATGTGCCTTTTGAAGCACTGGTCGCCACACCTCATCGCGCAGTTCAGGTACGTCCAAAATGGGCGCTCCTGGTTGCGGTACACTGTGTGGCGGCGCAGGCACATCCGGCCCGGAAGCTGGAGGGGATTGAGCAGGACGAGAAGCTCCACTTCCACGTGCCCCACTATCTGCGAGAGGATCCACCTGCTCAGGTTGTGTTCGTGCTTTCTTGACTTTCGACCCTTCGGGTGCTGCCCAACCAAATGTGTTCGGGCTGCAGGCGCTTGATCCGCTGCCACAGGATCTTACGACCTGTTATGGTGGACAGATCGCCGTCTTCCCGGGTAAGCCTGATGGCGGTAACACCGTTGTTCTGACACACCTGAGTCAAAGTACTATTGGCTTCAGCATAGATTTCTAACAGAACAATCGATGATCCTGACTGGCTGGGAATGTTCGGTGATCTGGCTGGGTCCTTCATGGATTTTCCAGTCTGTCTCGCGTGCTGCAGTAGTCCACGAAATCCTTCTGCTCGGGAGGCAGGGATTGATACCGGCTCTGCGACCAGGTGATGTAACCCGGGTCGGTCCGACACACCTGATCGTACGTGGGCCCCTTGTGCTTCTTGCCCCACGAGAATCGGCGAGCGCCCCATTCCACCAGAGACGGTGGATGTCGAGGTTCCTGCGCAGGCACCAACTCCAGACTGTTCGCTGCAATGCGTTCCTCCTCGGCCATCAGCCATGACTGATGGGATCCGTTCTCTCCATCGGCATGCTGAGCACTGCAGGTGGACGACTCGCATGGCTGCCTTGGCCCGGGAGGGTGGTTGATCCCTCGCTTGCGGTGGTGAGTCTGGCCGACGGACTTGGTGATTGGCCAGCTCCTGCAGGATCGTCCTCTGTGTCTGCAGTTCGGAAGCCATCTGCTCGAGCTTGGCTTCCACCCTTTCTTGATCTCCCTCCTCCATGTAGTTCATCATGATCTGGAGCAACATGGTCAGGACCTTGAGTACCCCTTCGGATACCGACTTCAAGGCGTTCATCATCATGTCGTGAGATGCCATGTTGCAAGGATCTGGAGGCTGGGAAGTCAGGCGCTCTGATCTGGGCAATCGGCTTTGGCATGTGCGGTGATTTCACTGATTGATCTGATGCGGCAGGTCTCTGATTGTGTCGGATATTATGAAGAGCAAATCTTACCCCTGAGTTAATCTGACTCCCTTCAGTGAATCGCTGACACTTACCCCAAGTGGCAGAATTACTCCCCTGATTGGCAGATTTGGGGTTATGCTCAACCGGCGCATCAGGCGCCTCTGATTCTATACTGTCAGCTTGCGTGCGAAACTGGATGTGGGCAGGTCGCTGATCACGTGCTGGCGTGAGGCACAATTGGGACATATCAAGCAAATACAAGCCGGATGCGCGTCTTTGACTTTTAGCGAGTCGGTCAAGTCTGCGTGTGTCCGTGGCGGTATCCAAAACGCCACCCAACTGCTTAAATGCTTTCTTGGAAAACAAAAAGGGGGTGCGGCCAGGCAAACCTTACTGTCTTTATGAGCATGTTGCAGAGGCAAGTAAATGCGGTGCTGACTCGACAGGGTCTGGTTATTTCCGAAACGGAATGTCACTTGGCTTGGGGACCGCTTGATTTGAGCTACTATGGTGGGATCAAGGTGGAAAACGTTGGATCCACGGTTTGGGGTGCGGTCACAGTCTCAGGCTCACGATGTGGCTTCTTGAACAGGGGCTCATGTCTTCATCACCCTGGTGGGGCGCTTGAGCTGGGCTGGGTGGTGGTGGACGTGACCCATGCCCACCTTTCAGGTGATGTCGGCGGCGGCAGCCGCGGCGGAGGAGTCTTCCTCTTTGAGTCAGTCCGGCGGTGGGCGCCGGTGGGGCCGGCGGGGCCGTGACGGCGGGCAGGGATTGCTTGAGTGGTTGAGATTCACACAGGAAGTCGGGGTGGACGTCCTGCTCTGGCGATGGTATCGTGGTCAACATGCATGATGAGGGATGTTGTGATGGGCGTGATCCGGAAGCTTTTGCAGGGCGACAGAATATGTTTCGTGAAGGGCACGATCGGGGGCATTGTGGGTGGCGGTGGCATGCATGATGCTTGAAGGGCGCGATTGGGGACATTGTGAATGGCGTGCTTCAGACGATGCTGAGAAACACCAGCGTGGCGGAGAGCGACAGGTGTCCAGCTCTGGCGCATGGGATCGCAGCTACGACAACTGGCCTCAGGATTTGGGGCAACAGTTCGCGGACAAGATGGATGGCCTGCGAGTCCGATGTCAGCGGCCAGGAATCAACGCGGGAAGGGCGCCAATCGTGTGGGCAAGGTCTCCCCTCGGTCCATGGATTCCCGGATCCACAAGTCCTTGATCTGATTAGGCTCCTTTTCAAAGTGCTGAGCCGCTGCTGTTATTCACATCCTGATTGGTGAGGTGGTGCACCAGCTGAGCGGCTCTGTCCTTAGATGCGGGGCCCAATAAGCTCCTTTGGAATGTGATTCCCCTTGCCACCAACCCAGAAATCCACACTCTTGAGCGTGCCATCTCTTCCCGAAATCCCGAAAGATAGAGCGAAGAATTTGGTCTAGTACAAGCTCGGAATGAACACTATTTGCTTCCGATTGGGGAGTTTGAGGGAGTGGACTTCCGTCGGACTTTCAGGTTCCCGGGGTATGGAGCTTGGATTGTTCACCAATGCGGACCGGCAGCCATGAAGGGTCCGAGCCCGTGGATGCAGTCCGGAAGCCCGCGTCGGAAGTTTGCAGCCCTACGCCACCAATTCCAGGTTGATTTGATGTGCGGCGCAAAGTGCGACCATGAACCGCTGGAACACCAGATCCTTCAGGGCCAGGTCAAGGTGGTGAACCGGATGAGCCTCCAACACAAAGGCTAAGTTCCCCCGAAACAGTGCCGCGTGCAAGATGGGTGCCTGGAGGTCATCGCGATCCGGATGCTGGACAGTGTCCCACCTACGGTGTCGTTGGTTTGGGCGCAACTAGCTCAACTTCGTGGCCTGTGTGCTACGAGGACATGCTTGTGCAAAAAGGGGGCGACGTGCAGCGGGGATAAACTTGGCTATGGCGCGTCACACTGTCAGCAGTTGGCGGACCAACCCGTCGCGTTTGGGATGGTGAACAAGCTGGCGCGGCGCGCTGCGCAGTCCAAGGTCATGAAGGTCTGCCAGCTGGGGTGCTCGCTTGAAGACATGGTGGTGTGATTTCGGCGAGCAATGTGGCGGTGACCTTGGCGCACAGTGCGCCTGCAGTGATTGGGGGGTGCAGAGTTCGAGGTTGCAGCGGGTGGTGTGCTGCAGCGTGGCAGCTGAGATCTCAGCAGCCGCTACGGCCTATGAGCACGGGGGCTACATCCGGACGGTAATTGCGGAGATCAACAACCAGCGCTCCAAGTTAAGCCGCTGGAAGCTGGAGGCCAGTGACTGGCGGCGCGTTCTGGTACGATGCGCTAAGCATAGAGCCCCGACGGATCGGAAGGTGATGACCAACGTGGCGGTGCTTCGCAAGGCGTTGGTTGAGGAGAACGCGGGCAACTACATCCGTTGGGTGCCTGGACATGAAATGGTGGCACGGCGACGGCGTGCTGGAACGGCTTCTGAATGAGGGCCGGTGGTCGCTGATGGACACGCCGGAGGCAGTCCAGGCAAGGGCGGCTGCCGCCGCGGGCAGCGAACGCAGTGATTCACGCCTGGGTCTGGTGTGGAAGCGGTGCTTTTCAGGGTCAGGCGCATGTTTGCTGGCTCAAGCGAATGGGTCACGATCACTAATTACCCAGCTGCATATGACAGGAAAATAGGCGGTGCGGCGCCATATTTGCGGGGTTTGTGCAGTTCAAGCATAAGCGCGGACGTGCCTAGTCTAGGTTTGACTTTGGTTGCTTGCATCTAGAATCGCTGGCCATCACCCAGGTTACAGAAACAACATGGTGTTTGAACAAGCTTCATCAGAAATTCAATCTGAAAGTAATCGGACGGGCCCGTGCTGCTTCATGTGTCAGCTTAGAAGGGCTGGCAGGCCAACCGGAGCCGGCCCCCTGGAGCTGATGGGGACACCAATGAGGCGAGGGGCGAGGGCTTGACGGGCTGCCTTTGCGTGGAAACTTGCCTAGGGTAACAACATGGTTGATGTCCTGGTGGATGACAATAACGCCGAGAAGCCGAACGCTGTCGAGGTGCCTAACATATCCAAGACGCCTAGCAAGCCTGCTGACATGGGTGCCAAGTAGGAGGCATGCAAGCTGATTGTGCCCGGTGACTGGAAGCATGCAACACCTCGCCAGCCTGGAAAAAAGAAGCGCAGTTTGTATTTGAAAGCGGTATCTGAATTTGACCGAGGCAACGTGGGAATCCATCCAAGCAGAGTTGGGCAGCCAGCAGGAAGAGATTGATGCCGCTCGACTGGTACATATTTGGGTTTTAAAGGACAACCCTGCTTGTCAGCTCTGCTTCAGCTCTGCCTGCGCAAGTCTGCTTGCGCAGCTCTGCCTGCGCAGCGCCTTGTACGCAGCTGTTCTTGCTTGTTTTACAAGCAGCCCTCCTTTATTTATTAGCTCTTTTGGTCGGGGGGTTCTAGCGAGGGTCGGCGAGATGAACCCTCACCGAAAAGCGGGTCGGCGAGCAAAAACGCAGCGAAATGCAACGTTTCAACTTTGCCGATGAATCCTCTGCGGTCGATGTGCAAAACGAATATGAACTGCATCGCTCTCACTTCAATGTAGGCTTCACTCGTGGAAGTGAACCTTGCGCCGTGGTTGGCGTGTTTTTTGCGGATGCCGCTCAGTTGTTATGTTGTCACACCCCCTCATGCCTTGTAGCTGGCCAAACAGCACTGCTCACACGAATTCGAGCTGTCAAGGCAGCCCGTAACTGTCCGGTCGGTTTCGCGACTGTGCAACGACCAAGTTGCACGTGCACGCAAGGCGCATGTTACAGGTCTGCTGATGCATTTAGTTGTTTGTTGTGGCAATTCCTGGTAGCTGCTTCACATGGCGGTGCGGACAGAAGAAGTCGAATGGCTGGCTTCGGACCCACGTTTGTTTCAAAGGATGTGCTTTGGACATTCGCCCTCTAGATTGTATGAATATTGACAGCCTTGAGCCCCACCATCCAGCAATTTTATATCTGGTGTAATTTCGATGTGGTGCCTGTTATGTCCTGCGTTCGTGAGACCAGGCGAGTTTTTTTTCACGGAGGCGCTGGTGGATCAATTGCGGGTGCTGCGCAGGGCAAAGAGAGTGAGCGCTATTCTTCAGCAGCAGGAGACGGTGGATGAATTGGATCCTAAGCTGAACATTCACTATGTGGTGGACGCATTCAGAGTCGAGTTCTGGATTGTGTGAACTTCAGTACAGCTGTGTTTTGATTTGTGCCACAAAGCAATGCTTGTGACAGACACACCATGCTATGCTTACACTTCATGACTTTCGCAACAAATTAGGCCAGGTTTTTGCCAGAGTGATGCTATGCAGTGTAAGTTTCATTTGATCAAATGTCCATGCGCTCGTCTCGACTCGCGGGCAGCATTTTGAAGCTGCGCTTCATTTATAGTTGAACCTTGAGTACCCTGTAGTGCTCTGAATAGATTGAGCCAGGTATATAATATACCCTTTCGTCCGATTAGGTGCAATGCCCGGGCTTCGCTCGCGACAAGCAAGCATTCTGGGCAGAGCCGGTCATTCAGAAAAGGATATCAATGGGATGCACGTGCTAGCAATTCTTCTGGGAATACATTTTTGCATTGATATTTTTTTTGGCAGAAAGGTTGGTTTTGCTGTAAACTAACCTGAAAAGAGCAGCGTCAAACTAGCACACACACACATTCACCCATGTTATCTATATCTACGTATGTATATCTATTAAACAATAGATGTACTTATATGCATGTATATATATATATATATTATACACGTATGTAGATTCGTATTTATACTCATGCAACAAAACACGGAGCCCGAAAGAACAGAATAGTGCAGCACAGACGAGAACAGGCAAGCACAAAGGGCAAGAGGCAACACAGAATGGCACAGCATGGCACATCATGGCACAGTATGGCACAGAGTAGGAAAGCAAGGAGGAAAGCGGCACCGAGCCGCATGGATTTGAGCAAGTTAAACAGACTACTAACATGAAGATCATCATGAACTTGGGTCGTCAGTATTGGCACTCACTCGCATCAAAGCATTCGCTTTTTCATGCGTCGCATGTCGTGTCTGATGTCTAGTCTTCCCAGCATTGAGACATTGAGAGTTCAATTCGTGAACTCTTTTCTCTATGCGGGGCAGCTATAGTAAGTTTTCCGCGTTGTTTGCGCCTTGCTTGCCTGCAAGTCTTTACAATCCACAGCACGCTGAGATTTGCTTTCCAGACCTATTGGTTGACATCATTCAATTGACCTTAGTGAGTTGCAACAGCAGCGCTTTGGCCTGTTGTCTGCTGATCGGTAATGGCTCTACACTACGACCTAATAGTGTGGGATTTGTTGCATTTCTGTTGGCAAGAATTGAAACCAGTACAACTGACTTATTCTTCTACATGTATTCGGCTTTCATTTCCCTTGCCGTTCTTCTCGTGTTGGCGATGGTTTCAGCCATGTTTTGGGCCTGCTCAACATCGCCAGAAACGATGTCCTTTGCTGCACACCATTGCTCTTATTATTTTCGGGTTCCTTCTGGTCCCTTTCGCCTCAGCTTTCCGGTGCTGTCCACTATGTCCTTGTTCAGGCACGCTGCCCTGCATCACTGCAACCTACTCGGTTCGCGCCATGACTGCTTCCTTGAGCCAGATCCCGGTTTCAACAGCCTTGACTGCATCTGGCTGGAAGCGGTTTCTTGCCCAGCGTTCACACAGGGCGATCTATTCCTGCAGCAAACTCTAAGGTAAAGTGTCGCAATGCCACCCACTTGCCTTGTGTCATCTTTGAGAAGAATCATAAGAATAAGAAGAACATGAAGAAGATGAAGAAGATGAAGAAGATGAAGAATCTGATCATTAGTATTGTCTTTTAATGTGGAGCAGGATGACAAGTTCCCACATCTGCTTCCCGGCGTGCCATGCGAGGCGCTGGTTGGCCAAGTGAGGCTCTGTAACGGAAGGCACTCAAATGTGCATCCCTCCGCACAGCGCCACAATGCAAGTATGCCTGCAGGCAAGCAAGTCGGAGCAGAGAAGACGCTGAGGGTAACCTGTGCAAGCATACCACGGGTTGGCAAGTCAGTCATCGCCGGCCCTCGCACAAGTTCATGCTGCGTTGGCAGTTGTTGTGCAAAAACGAAACAACCATCCTGGACCATCCTGCGCTGAAATCTCGCCTGTGGCGGCTCACGGTCTTCATGCAACAAAATTGTCAGAGACATGGAGGCATGTTCCAAGTGTCGTGAAGCCAGTCACCGCTTGCTACTCACTCAAGGTGTGTGCGACAAGTGAACAAGGAGAAAACATCACCAGGCTGACTTTGCTGTCGCCAACTTTGCTCCATCGCCACTGCGCTGTGTGAGGCGTTGGCGGCTCAAATTCTGAGGCTCTGTTGGCCAGTCACTCAAGTTCATGCCGCTTTGTCTACTGCTTGCAACCAGTGAAAGCCCCTACACTGGCCTGTTCCAAGTGCAAGGGCATGCTTTGACCGCTGCAGTACACCAGGTGAATTACCCGCCCTTTCGGCATGTTTGAAGAGTCGGCCAGCCGCCAGGCTTCACTGGCCTTTGCCAGACCGCTGATACATTGCCTCCAATGCCCACAGCCATCCCAACACCGGTGAGTGTCGCCCACCATCACCAGGTGTTTCACTCGGCTGCTCCAACAGTGGTGATGGTGATCTCCATCCCTTATAATGCAGTTTTAGGAGTCGATGCTCCGGGCGCTTTCTGATCTCACTGCGCTCGCAATGCTCTTTTCACAAGCTCCCGATGGTCGATTTTGCTCGGGTCAGCCGGCCTCAATCTGTCAGCACGTCCACACCCAGCCACCCCTGCAAGTTTCTTTATTCTCCCTGCACACCAGATGAAGTATGTCCGCGTAGTGGAGCAAGACGGGCTGATCATTTTGCTTGCCATGATGTGTGTCAACGTTTCTTTCACAGCATATCTTGCCTCGGCTATCATGTTTCTTCCCAACCCTTGGCCAACACATTGACATTGAATCCTCAACTTCGCAATTGTGTTATGCATGAGCATTGCTCCCAATGCCGGCAAATAACCTTGTGCAAAGCGCCTATTTACGTTTGGCCAATAGCAATGCAGGCAAGAGGCATGACACATGCCATTTGCCGGCAGGCACTGCTGCCGGGTGGTGAGAAGATTCACGCTCCTGGGCTCAGCTTTACCACAATCTTGTTGCCTCCATCTTTTTACTGCTCCAACAGGCAACAAGAGTGTGAGAGCCCCACACTTCTGGATTTCCGGGCAGATCCTTTCTGATGAGAATGAGGGATGCCATACGCTCAGATGTCGTTCTATGTGTTCGAGCAGTCCATGTGGGATGCTGCGTTGCTGTTGTGTGTCTTGGCAGAAGCTCAGACAAAATTGAATTTCTTGAATTGAATGCCAGGTTCGGCAGCATGATTGTTGCCACACTTGCAACTGTTGTCAAT